GCAGGTTGGTAACCGCCACCAAAGGGGTGCTGTGGTGGACCAGGCGCGGCAGGGTTCAGGCCAGGCGGACCTTGAGGCGCATGAGGAGGAGGAATTTGAGCCTGAGCAGATTCTGGAGGCGGAGGCGCCAGGCCAGGTCCACCTCCAGATTGTGACATGATGCCTCCAAAGAGGGTACCTTGACCGTGTCCAATTGAGGGCGGTGGCTGCGAGGGATTAACATGCTGTGAGTTGTTCACATGAGATGAATGGGAGGGTCCTCCAGCGGCGTCAAGTTGTCTGTTCAGACGTTGGATTTCTTCTTCGTACCTAGAAACATGTTAGCGGACACCATTATCAGGCGAGATATCAACGCACTTGGTCTTCATGGCCATTTGTGCCTGTTCGAGTTGATAGATCTTCTGGCGCACGAGGTCCATCTCCTGGAGCTGTTGAGCGACTGCGGTAAGGTCAGCGTCGAGTGCTTCACTTGGCGAGCCTTGTCGACCGTGTCTCCAAACAGCTCGCGCAAATGGACAGGATCCGAGCCATTGCGCTTGGGCATGACAACTTACGTTGACGCTCCATCTCGCCAGCTCGACCAGCCTCATTTTCAAACTCTCCACGGATCTGCTCGAGCAGCTCGTTCAGGCGCTGATTTGGTGCGCTGGGCACCATGCCGCGGTGAGCGTTGTACATGGTGGGCGGGGTGACCAGCGCGCGATGTACGTCCAGAGTCGAGATGCGCAAGGCTCAGAAGGCGAAGAAGAATTCCGGGGGAGATTGAGACGCGGATCAACGAAAGCTAGGGACGCGAACGCGGTGCTCGCGAGGCGATTGGCGCGCGGCGGTGCAAGGTGCTGAGGCTCAAAAATCAGCACAGCAGTGCGCGAGAGGTCTCGATGAAGGCGCCGACAGCTCGCTTGGAGGGCCCGGAGAGATGTTGAGGGCGGGGGGCGATGGACCGTCGATGGCGAGGAGATGGGCAGCGGAAGACGGATGGTGTGGAGTTGGCACTTGAGTTGCAACCTCCCGCAAGCCGACGAGGCTAACGGGAGCACGGCCCACCTGAGCCAGAGCATGCAGAGCGGGAGCGCTAAGCCGTAAACAGTCTAGCCCCTCGCTAACCAGTATGGGCTAGAGCAGGGCCAAGTCGGGCTAGGGCGACTGGACTGGACGTCAATCCGGCTTCCTCACATCCAGAACAGCCTGTTACCTGGCGCCATCTCCTCGACACTCCCTCCTGTCGAAAGGGCTTTTGAAACGGCGGGGAGCGCCGTCTGCCTCAGGTCCCGGGAATCAATTATCCAGGATACCGCCAGCGAACCATCAGACCACCATCATGACGAACCCGATCATCGGGCAACACGGGAATAAAGAACCCATCTCCTCCATCATCCAGCCCTCATCTTGAAGTATGCGATCGCTACATTCAACGGCATCTCCACTGGGGAGATTGTGCAACATGTGTCGCGTCTGTGTGCCACTGCTGCTCTTCCACCTAACTATCGACATGCGTACAACACGATGTGAAAACCATCGCGAGCATTCAATCCATTGGAACCCCGCTCAAGCCATTCGACTCAGGAAGGTAATTCGGTGTCATGCTGACTTGTCCACCGCATTCAGCGACCCAAGCCTAACGTTGATCCCCTACATGCATGTCCAAAATTGTCGTCAACGATGATTCCACGCCATCCATCTTTCTGCCGACAAGCCACTCTTACATGATGCCCCCCATTATCATGTGCTGTCCGTCTTTGACGCAACCACGTGGTGACACCGATCACCAGTCAGCTCCGTGTCCTCGGGACCTTTGCACCCCTTCACAAGCAAATTTCCTTCACTCTTTATATAATCCCCCCAAACCACCACCTTCGCTTTGCTTCCTCCATCCCCCTTCACCCGACAGACAAGCCACCAAATTTTCATGATCTCGTCATTGTCGGATTCCAATACTAGCCCTACCCACCACTCAAGGCGGGCTACTTGGTCCAGCACCGAGGATCCCCCCCACACCAGCACAAAGACACGCCATGACTTTGAAGCTCATGGCCCGACGAAGCACCTCGAGAGACTCGGCAAGGCCCGACTGAAGAGCGACCTTGGAGCTGTTCCCACTGTACGTTGCCAACCGAAACTCATGCAAACTGCTGCTAATCAACCAAGACACTCTATATTGGACTTGCTGCCAAGCAAGATGAGCGGGGCCTCCTCGAAGTGGGCTTTGCCTCCCATGATGGCACCTACAGCCTTGACTTTGCTGTCCATGTACTTGGCGGCGAATATCCCAACAACCACAATGGCCACAGCAGCAAGGCCCTGAATGGCTTTGCGAATGGATTCTCCAGCAGCTCGAGCTCCGGAGATTCACGGCCTTCTACTCCCGCAATTCCGTTGCATGAACACGATCGAGACAAGGGACTTGCCGACTTCATCATTTCTAGGATTTCCGAATACCAGCAGGAGCATTCGTACAAATTTGCGGGTGCTGGCATCACCAAAGCTTTGGTGAATCTGAGTCCCCAGCTTCCTTCCCGCCTCTGGTGGGAACTGGATATTGTGCCCTTGGTCTTTGAGCATGGTTTGGAAGATCTGGGTGGCTCCCCCAAAGCTGTGTTCACCCCGGATGAGGAAGCTGATTCAATGGCTCGCAAGGCCCTAATGTTCTTTGGCCCCAACTCACAGCCCAGGGTCCAGATCGGTTTCAAGAATGTCGTTGAAGTCGACTGCCGAGGCCATGCCCTGGTCACACGACTTGACCAGTACCCCGAGACTGTTGGTCCGCGCACATGGGAAGCCATGATGAAGTATGTCAAGTCGATCAAGGCACACAACACCAAAATTGCATTCTTCAACAGCACCCCTCAAGGCGGCGGTGTTGCACTCATGCGCAATGCGCTCATCAGATTCTTCCGCTTGCTGGGCGTTGATGCTAAATGGTATGTTCCCAAGCCGAAGCCAGAGGTGTTCCGCCTTACCAAGACAAACCACAACATCTTGCAGGGTGTCGCGAGCCCTGATGCGCGCCTCCCACCCGAGAAACAAGCGGTGTTGGATGAATGGGTCAATGGTAATGCGCAACGATTCTGGACTCCGGCTGGAGGGCCACTAGCACCGCGCTCCAAGGGTGGTGCAGACGTCATCATCGTAGACGATCCGCAGATGCCTGCCCTCGTCAAGATTTCCAAGGCTATGGACCCCGAGCGTCCAGTGATCTTTCGCAGTCACATTCAAGTCCGCTCAGACCTCGCCGACGACCCCAGCACTCCAACGGCCGAGGTCTGGAACTGGGTCTGGAACAACGTCAAGCAAGCAGACCTCTTCATCAGTCACCCAGTCAAGGAGTTCGTGCCCTCCAACGTCGACTTTCCAAAAGTCGGCTACTTACCCGCGACAACCGACTGGCTCGATGGCCTGAACAAGGAGATGAACCAGTTTGTCACCGAGTACTACTTTCATGAGCTGAGCTCGGAGTGCTTTAAGCAGCAAATGAACCAGCTCGACTTTCCCAATCGCGACTACATTGCCCAAATTGCGCGCTTCGACCCATCAAAGGGCATCCCCGATGTTCTAGCCAGCTACGCAGAGCTGCGCCGGACGCACATGAAGGGCTGGCCCAAAGACAAGACGCCACAGCTTGTGCTGGCCGGCCATGGCGCAGTCGACGACCCAGACGGCTCGATGATTCTCGACGAGACGCTGTCCCTGCTGAATGAAAAGTACAGCGACATTCAGCGTGACGTGGTCGTCATGCGCCTGGGGCCAACGGACCAGCTGCTCAACGCCGTCATGTCCAATGCCAAAGTTGCGCTACAGCTTTCGACACGCGAAGGCTTTGAAGTCAAGGTTTCGGAAGCCGTGCACAAAGGCATTCCAATCATCGCAACCAAGGCAGGTGGTGTTCCACTGCAGGTCGAGGACAAGAAATCTGGCTTTCTCGTCGATCCCAGCGACTATCACGCTGTCGCAAGGCATCTGGCCGACTTGTTCAATGACTCGGAGCTGTACGAGCGAATGTCGGTGTATGCTGCCACGCACGTCTCAGATGAGGTCAGCACCGTGGGCAATGCGCTGAGCTGGCTGTACATGGCGGACAGTCTGGCCAAGGGCAAGAAGTTGCGGCCGAATTCCAAGTGGATCAACGACATGGCGCGAGAAGAGGCTGGTCTGCCGTATGTTGACGGCGAGACCAAGTTGCCGAGGAAGAAGGAGTTGAACTTGCAGGGCTGATTGATTGGGAAACACTACGGTTCGGTTTCAGTGAAGTCAACAGATTGGATTGAGAGTATGACTTGGATCTACTGTCGTTTGAACATGCTCGGGGTTTCCACGGTCATTCATCAACCAAATTGGAGTCGTAGCACACATGACAACTGCTCCCTATATCCATTCTCTAGGTCTTAACAAAACCTCTTTAGCTTAATATTTATGAGTTGAATTCCACCTGTGGCTGCGCTTCGACTCAGTCAAAATGCATCTGAATGCTCTCTGTGGCCCCTGTCGAGGCATTGTGGTGCGCGGTGGAGGGGCCCTGAATGCTCATTATTCACGCTGTTTTCACACTGTATTGAATTCCACCTTCCCTTACATACAACCGCTCTCTTGTATGGTCATGGATGGCTACCAAACCTCATTTCCGCATCCCCGACGCTGTAAGCTCTTGTCTTGATTCTGCCATAGTTGAGTTGATCCCTTCGTACCAACAATCCTCTCGGGCCTATTGCGCCCTTCGCCAGTCAAAACAGTCTTGCTAGCGTCTTCCCATCTGATCACCACTCATGTATCTGACCGGGCTGATGGTTAGTGGCTCGCTCCGCGCCGCCCGCATATGTTCCCCGCCTTTCCCGTGCCGCTGCTCTCTCACCTCCCACCCCCCAAAACGGCAGTCCCCACATCACATCAGCCAAAACGACAGCGCAAGGGAAAGGGAACAATGGTCAACACAGGCTCTTCCACGAGATGCTGCTCCTGCATAAAGAGCCAGGCTGCAAATGCAAAAAAGGGCAAAACAAGATACTTGCGAGTGCCGAGACTCGAACTCGGATCTCAACCTCTTCCAATGGAGAATGGGAAGGTTGAATGATAACCCCTACACTACACTCGCTGGGTAATCAAGTTGTGAAATGCATGCAAGGAATATGTATTGCATGCACAGGTAGCTCTCTCTTGTGTTGCTGCAATGCTGGCAAACCGTTTCGAAATCGCAATTGGAAAGAAGCTGGGGGCATTGTTAGTGAAGTGAAAGACAGAAAAAGGAGGGGCTGACCCTGACGTGGACCTGGGGAGCTGCGCCGCTGTTGGGCGAGACCTGCGTCACGGACTCGAAAACCAGCTCCGATGCGCGCGCGCCAACAGCTCCCCATCAACGCCAACCTCTCAGACCTCCACACCACGCCACCATGTCGAAGATCGAGAAGACAATACAGCGCCAACAAGAAAAGTAGACTTCCTGTTGATTGCACCATTCGTCCAAGCTTTGGAAGCTCACGCGCTGCTAGGATCGCCGAAGGCCAGTTCTACGAGGCCCACCAGCAGCTGCGCGTCATCGCCGCGCGCTACGTCAAGCAATCGAACTGGAATGCCGCCATCGATATCCTCTCGCAGGGCGCACAGGCGCTGCTGCAGGCCGGTCAGGGCGGTAGCGGCGGCGACTTATGCAACTTCTTGATCGAGGTATACCACAAGGCAGAGACGAAGCCGGATGCGGGGAGCAAGGCGCGGGTCTTGAGCTTGCTGCGGGCGTTCCCGCCAGACGAGCCGACCAAGAAGAGGTTCATTGGCGAGCTGATAGCGTGAGTGCGAGCCTGGAGACTCTGCGCGGGCTTTGGCTGACGGTTGTAGGTGGTCGGCGAGGATGGGTGAATACCCTGCAGGTGACCCAGAGCTTCACCACGTAGCTGGCATGGTGCTTGCCGAAGGTACGTTGAGATGCGTTCTCTCAATATCTGTGCTGACTTTGGAAAAATAGACGGCGAGGCATATGAGGCAGAGAAGCACTTTGTCCAAGGCACGCGAGACTCCGCCGAACAGCTTGTCAAGCTCGAGTATGAATGGTACACCGAAGACCAAGCCCACACCGCACCCCTCTACGCCGCTCGCGCCGTTCTCCCGTACCTCGTCGCTGGCAACGTGCGCGCCGCCAACCAGTCCTTCCTCCAGTTCACCACGCGTCTCTCCCAAGCCAACAGCTCGCTCGCCGTACAAGAGGTCAGCACCGCGAGTGTTGACCTGCGTCTATACCCTTCGCTTCCGCTCCTCAACTTCCTCGGTCTGCTGCTCCTGTCCGTGACTCGCGGCGGCTCGGATCTGTTCCGGCTGTTGAAGTCGCACTACAAGTCGAATCTCGACGAGATTCCGGCATGGAAGGACGCGCTGGACCAGATTGGCGAGATGTACTTTGACATTCGCATCCCGAGCCAATCCAACCCGCTCATGGACATGATGAGCAACATGTTTGGCGGTGGAGGCCCAGCAAAGAAGCCGCAGTCAAGGCGCGTAGAACCAACGCCGCCACCAGCACCCGGTTTGGACTGAGAGACGAGTGTGAAGAATCTCGTAGTTCAAGGAAGTGGATGTAAATCCAGACCGAAATCGCTTGCCAATGTAGCGTAGGCTACGGGTATCTCCATAAAAATGCCATGACCAAACGCCCTCTCCAATCCCGATGTTCCCCACATGTGCGCCGTGCTAGCCTCGCCGTTAATGTTTGCTGCCTGAAAATCATTCCGCCATCAATGTCCTGGGATCTTCGCCCTCGAACATCCACTTGTCTTCCTCGAGCGAATCGACTTTGGCCTGCAGGCTGGCCCGCAGCGTTGCCTTGAGTTCTGCGCAAAGCGAGCAATTCTCTCGCTCCTCGTCGCCTTTCTTGCCCGTGCCCTCAGGATGTGTACCTTGCTGGTGGCGGCGATAGGTTTCAACAAGATGTGTATTGACTTCTACGACGCGCCCGTCAGCATGTCACCTTGTGCGTACGCGCGCTACAACGGGCGCTCTGCTATCGCCATGCAAAACTCACACCTCCCCACTCACCTTGTCCCTCAGTCTCCTCGTCCGGCGGCAGCGGGCCCAGAACCGGCATGTCCAGCTTGTAATTCCCGTCCTCGTCGCGCGCCACCATGTCTCGATCTCTCTCAAGCCCGTGGCCTTGCTCACCTTCGCCCTCTTCGTCGTCAATGTCGGCTAGGTGTAGGGTGGTTGCGGAGGTGGCACTCGTGGTGCTGGGCGCGGTCGGCCGGCGCGAGAGCGTGCTGTTGAAGAGGTTCCGTCGCATGCCGGAGGCCGTCGTTGTGCGGTGCGTTGGATGGACGTGTGTCGCGCGACTACTCATGGTGTCTGATAATAATGGTAGCGGTAGGGACGTGGTGTAGCTTTGGGAAAGACGCTGGTTGTTGCGGAGAGTTCGAGGTGGTCTTGAGAGGTAAACAAGATGCGCAAGTTGCGGCGAAAAGGTGGCCGCCGAACATTGCCAGATTCCGAGAACAGTCGACACGACTTTCAAAAATAATTAGGTCATATATAAGCCGAAGCCTTTTATGTGGGAAAGCATTGCTAGAAGCATGAATCGTCTTGGAAAGATTTGATCCGCACCGAGGCGCTTTATGCGTGCGGTGGACTATCAGCGTGTTGTTTACCAGCTGATGCTAGCTCCTTCGCAGGTAAATAGTCTACAGATGTTGGGACGCCTTTGAACTCCCACCATTTGAAGACAGCTCTTACTACATGAGAAATTGCCTTTTCTATTCCTCATCGAACTGATCGAACTGTTCACTCTATCCGGAGAACTAAAAGGCCGTATGTCGATTGTGGTGCAGGGACCGGGGCGCGACATCATGGGCTCGGCATGCGTGAAGTCGTGTACCGCGCAGATCAAGGGTCTCATCTAGATCCAAAGCACCTCCAACTACATCTTCACAAGCCCCATTCTGTGGATACTGATCAACACCATGGCTGGCGAGGGAGCGGACAAGTTGATGGCGTCTCCAGGGGCAAGCGATTGCCACTATCTGGCCTTCCAGAACAAGAAAACCACTGGCTCTGAGAAAACAGACTTGACTGCGCCTCGCGAAATCGCGTTCTACTCCTTCGACGATGAACACAAATACCGACCTGATGACTCTTCGCTTTCCTACTACTGGCCGATGAAAGTCGACGAGCATGCACGCAGAGTTGGTCTGCAGACCGGTTTGGACACCTTCAAGCAAGTCGACGAGTCGATTGATCGCCATCTGGACGCGCTGCTCCAAGCCCTCCAAGAAAAAGAAGCTCAGACAGGACGAATCACCGATGCCGAGGTCATCACTTGGAGAGGTCAACTGACCAAAGTCCGCACTCCAATTCTGCTTCTTTTTCGAGACATTGCATTAACAGCATCTAGATTCTCACGGCGATCTACAGCAAACGCGATTCATTCGAGATGAATGTGACAAAGTTTCAGGTACGTCATTCTCTACTACAAAGACCAAAGGTTTTGTGTCTATCTCATTGACTTTCATTAACGCGAGCAAAGGGACAAATGTGGGTTGGCTCAATGGCTTCAGAAACTTTCATATGCAGCACATTGTTCGCTGGCTGACCATGAAAGCAGCTTCCTCGAGGAACACCATCAGGCTAGGTTGGAGCGTAACTCTCAGCCGTTTTCCAATCAGTCGGCCATGGCTTATCTCGGTATGTTTGCCCCTCTAAGCAGAAGCATGCGTCCGCGACAACGCTCAGAGACGACCCAGAACGAAGCTTAATTGCATTTGCCAGTAATACCTAACGCACACAATAGGATACAAGTTTGAAACGCTGTCAACTATTCCGGACGTCTGGGACAATGTTCGCCGGGAGGAGATTGAGAATCGCCACGCGCAACAGGTCTCAAATCATTCGCAATACTGCTCCATCGTGTCAACCACCTTGGATGACAAACACAAGCTTGTCTATGGAGGAGAAGTCGACTGCAGTTCGTGTTCCCATAGTCGCAAGCACATAGACTCAGCTGACGAGATTGCGCAGTCTGGGACAGTCATGACATGCTTCACAGCGATCCTAGAGAGTACCATGGCGAATACGGCAACAACCCCAACTACACCTATCACAATTGGGTCGAGCTCAAGACTCTGGCCAAGTCCCTAGTCGACAAGAGAAACCATGCCTACGAGATGCGACTCTTCAAGTTCTGGGCGCAGTCATACCTCATTAACTGCCCACGCATCATCCTCGGCCTTCGCACTGACTACAGGGGTATCTTGGATATCCCCAGGGTTGAGACGCTGAAAACGCACGCCATTCCCCACGGCAAGTTCTGGTCCAAGAGTCATGCCTTGGGGTTCCTTTCGGCTTTCATCCAACTCCTCAAGGACCACGTCACCGAGGGTGACTACTGGCGTGTGAGGCACGTTGCAGACCAGGATGTGCTTCAGTTGTTCCTTATGAAGCGCGGAACCTACGGATCCATCATCAGCGAGAAGTTTCTTCAGTGGCGCCAGAACTTTGACGAGGATGGCATCCTGAAGTCTTCGGGAGCCAAGACTGGTGAAGAGCAGGCTTCTGAAGCTATGGAGGACGTCCAGCCTTCAGTCCTCGACAAATCTCAAGACTAAACCCGGCTGATGGCCTTTTTCATATGCGTTCGCTCTCGACAGGTCTTCGGAGGGTTTTCGTAATCACTTCAAGTCTGGTTGTTCAGACTATACTCGCTCATACTTCGCAGCCTTCGGCATCGGAACGGCGTTGGAACATTTCGACATCCACACTGGCGTTGGAAATGGCATCGAGCATGGTCGGCGTTGGTATGGTTATGGTAGGCGCAAAAGGGTCGAGTGCTCGACTTTCACAAAGGGAACTGCTTGAAGGAAGGAGAATCGGTCTCCCCGTATGGCACGAATGCTCCCCGGACGAATGCTGTCGTCCGACACTCGGTAGGTTCGTCAATCATATCAAGCAGAGATCCCTGCACCAGACCTACTTTTTATTGCCTGCGCTTCGAAACAGGTGCACTTAAGATGTTGATGATCTCAGGGTACCATTGCCTCTTTTGTTTTCTTCAAACACTCCATGAGCCTGTCGAGGTCAAGGAGGGCCGTTTCAAGCAGCGAGCACAAGGCTGCTTCCCCTACA